CGGTGCAAAATTTCAAAAGTCGAGATGTCATTGGGGAGCTTAATCTAGTTACACATATGATGCACACATATACACAAATATTCACATATATACATATAATAATATATATATATATATATATATGTAATATACATATGAATATATAAACATATTGTATATATATACCAGCTTCTTCAAAGTGACCTCGATATGCATTTTGATATCAAAGGCTCTTAAATAGGTCACTTATGCCCCTTGAATATCAAAATTATCAAAGGGTCACTTAGGAGAAGCTGGAAAGGGTCACTTAGGTAGTATATGGGGTTAGTTAAGATGTGATTATCTATGATAGTTATATGGGGTTAGTTGTCACTTAGGTAGTATATGGGGTTAGTTAAGATGTGATTATCTATGATAGTTATATGGGGTTAGTATGGGTTAGTTGTCACTTTGGTAGTAGTATATATGGGGTTAGTTAAGATGTGACTATCTATGATATTTGTTTGGTGTTAATAAAGGAATCAACCAACCACCTGTCCCATCCCTCCCACGGAAGAACACCTATGTAGCATTAATCAATGTGACTTAAGTGACTTAAGTTAGAAGTTGTTAAGACCTTTGGGGGCTATATATGCAACATAGGTGTTCTTCCGTTGTCATCATCTCCGCCATTTGCACTGGCGACCATTGTGGAGTGTGTCAACTTGCTCAGCAAGTCCACAGAGGCCAGCATCTGCTGGAATGGTGGTGGGAAACAGGTCGATAGTATTATAAAGTAGTAAGCACCCATTGGCACCATTTCTATAAACATATCAAAACATATCAAAACATCACACATCTACCACTCTTCCATTTGCCTCATCCAGCGAACTGCTACGAAACTTGCATAGCGTTGTAAGACCTGGCGCCCTAACAAGCGTGGGTGACATTTGCTCGCTGAAGACTTTATTTTTCCCACCTTAGCTGGTCAGCCCATGCAAGTGCGTGCTAGGTTGGATTAAAACAAACACATATGCACACATGACTGTGAACAGTATGCACACAGCAGTGCAGCCCAATCACCATATCTTCGTCCCCATAGCACGAACACCAAAATGGTGATATCCGTGCAGAAACATCATAAACGATATGGTCCAGCCTGAATCCCATAAGTGGCAGCACCAAAAACAGCTTCTACAAAACTAGTGCTACTAGGAAACTTGTGTGCCTTTGGTCTCAACTTCCAGAGAAGTTTGTTTTGGGAGATTGCCTCTGAGGCCAGCCCTTGGTGCCAAAAAGATACCAACATCACCAGAAACAACTGTTCAAAGAATTTAATCATGTATGAACAGGTGCAATCACCTAGGACCTAAGCCAAGAATCAGTTGAGAGCGCTATGGAACAGATAGTTGGCAGTCTCAAGCTTTTTCCTGTTGGCATCAGTCAGCAAAGGTCCTTGACGTAGGGTCACTGCATCCCGCATACCACACATGTTGACGAACACTGCTGCACGTAGCCTCGGGATGGTCAAACGATATATGGGAAAACACTTGACATGTGTGCTATGTATACACTTGCAGCTGCTGCACTTAAAAATGCCATGATACTGGCTATGCATATTGTCAGGCTCTTTTGCTGCTAAACCGACGGTGACTCCCATCAACCATTTGGCCAATATGCCCGATTCCTTAAAACCAATTCGTTGCACACATGTTTTGCACACAATCTGTTGCTTGAGCTGTAAAGACACCATGCTAGAAGCTCAGGTCAGGTCAGCGCCATTGAAGTGTTTCTGAGCGATAGTCGGATATGACCGCGCATTTTTGACCAGATGCTTCCTGCATGTGGGCCAGAGCAATGGCTTTAATATATGCTTGATGTTTATGGCGCATTATACTTGCTCCCAAGGAACATGCAATAAAATAGTCCCCGGTTTCCTGAGCATTGTTTTTCGACCACCAAATGATTCACAGACTTTTATAACCACTGATCACAGTGCATGAGACATACACACACACACAAAAAAAAAACATGCTGGGAAACTGATTTTGTGCTGTTTGCATAGCTCACGGAATTCCACATAGGCAGCTCGCAAGCGATCATCCATATTTGAACCTGCCCATAAGAAACGTTGCAACCAAATAAACTTGGGTTATGCAATGCATAGCACAATATAATACATATTAATACATGGCATATGACTCATGGATTGCACCTGGCCAAACATCTGCACCTTGTTCACAAATTTCAATAAGTGCCTAGTGGTGGAAGCACAAGTGTTGACCCATATGATATATATTACAAACTATGTACCAAACAAAATATGTGCAGTCTTGTTGCAGATGCCGAAGCATCTGGAATCAGCGACAAATCCAGCACATGGAGCCAGTCATATGTCACCATTGAGGGGTGAAAACCAGGCACTCTGACCCAAGGGTTGGAATTGCACCGGTCAGTCACAAAGTCGTAGAGGCTAAGCATGGTTGTTCGGTGCAATGCGTTTTTTCCAAACCCTGTGTACAGCAACTCGGAATCTGAACGCCGGGATGCTCGACAAGTAAAGCATACCTCCTCACTCACCCAGGTTGTTTTCACGTGAAAGCTCTTGGCGAGAGCTTTCTCGTCCCCCCTGTGTGCAAACAGTATACCCTTCCAACCATCAGCAATTGGCATTCCTGCTTTGGATTTCCGTAGCCCCATCACCTCCCCCCATGGAGAGTGCTCCAAGAAACGTCCAGCACCTAGTTCAGTAAACGACCATGCCAACCATGTGTCCAAGGTGTCATAGGTGTTGTCACAGCTCTTCGCATTGTCAGTGCAGTATAGTACAAAGCGACAATCCCAAGGAGATTCGTGGACTACTGCTGACCCAAATGAGCTGATCATGAATGATCTTCTTCTGTGGGCCTCTCCATCATCGCAGTGAAATACCAATGGAACGCATCTAGAAAGGTCTGTGTCCTTAATGCCAATTCTAAAACCATTTAGTCCAAGTCTCACCACAGAACATGTATGCTTTGTTTAGCCAGGTAGCTGGGTCTTGTAGGACAGGGTGGTTTTGAAACCATTCGGTATGTTTCTGATGCTCCCAAAACTCATCAATGGCCTTACTGCCGAAATCTGTCGAACAAAAAAGTAAAACAAAACTGAACAGTAGGTTGATGTGTGTTGATCCTTGCTAAAGGAATTTACTTTCCAAACATTTCAGTCGAGTAACTCCAGGTGGACCCGGGAAACGCTCAGCGAACAACTTCGTGTCATAGTGATAGATGCTCCCAAACCTTGTGCTTGAGCAAAACCCAAGCTTCAACTCCCACCCAACACACACACACACAACCCCTCCTGCATGCAATACCCTGCTGCCCAACCATTGCCAAGCAACACCTCTGATGGCAAAAAAATGTGCCAAGAGCCAATGTAGAACGGGTCCTTCATCGACTTGTCTTCCAGGACTGTGTTGACCCTCAGAGGGCACAATGGATGGCACTTTAAGCCTAATATGTGTCATGCTATATATAACATTGCAACATACTGCAACACACATATCATATGTGCCAGGGTGCTCAAGTAGACGAGGAAGCATTTTCCGCCATGGTTGTCTCCCTAGCCAGTTCCAAAAATTGCGTGGTCCATTTCGTCCAGTGCCAGATTGAGTACGAACTAAATCTTGCATATTGCTCCTAGGATGATGTTCCAGGATCACAGGGATTTATTATGTTTAGTGCGCCTGTTGAAAAACAAAATAAACATATATAAACATATTTTGACAAGGTTCGGTAAGAGTCTTCGAGGAAATCTCCGTTTGATCACATCTAGCATCTTCATCAATGTGCTCACACTAACCTAAGGAGTGGTATTGAAATCCAAAGGCCAAGGTACAGTAAGCTAACCACCAGCACCACCTTTGCAGCCAGGCAACTTGTCGACCAAGTTCAATGAACTCCTCCACGACGTCCATGGTGTCAGCAGGTGTGAGAGAACGGCAGTTGGGAATGGCAGGAAACAATGGTCCATTGGTGGCTCACCATATTTTTTTTCGGGTGTAGAGAAATGCAATGTGAAATGTTAATGAGAAACCCCATTGAATGGTAAATGAAACATTGGACACATATTCAAGCATGTGTTGCTGCAACACTCAACTCCCCTTGAGTGGTCCCTTTAATGTCACAGGCAAGTGAGAGTTTGCTAAATGTATAATGTGTTCTCAAAGCACATTGCATTAATTGTGTCGACATAGGCTCCTTTCCACACACGCCTGATCGACAAATCATCAGGTTTCAACCTCCATCATGGGTTAAACCAGTGGAACTTAGATCCCATTCAGAAACTTAAGGCACGATCGAGTTGATCATGTTCCCCCAAAACGGACCAGCCGAGGGTGACAAATGGTCACATCTAACAGCTAGTCCCGACGAAAGTAACAGATGCTGTTCACAGCACTGTACCAAGCATGTGTTTTCATATCGATCATTTGAGCAACAATCGCAAATATTGTTATAGTACATTTGGCCATTGAAACAGTTTCGGAAAACACATGTTAAACCCAATGCCTTTCAGGCTGATTGATCGCGTGATCATCATTCCCATAGGTCTCCTCTACAGTGCCATTTTTCAATGGTGAATCTGAGAGCATCAAGAAACATTTCATGGGTTTATGTTTCAAAACTAATCAACTAGTCAGACTCACCAGCTGACTCATCATTAACATTATCATCTTGATCACCATCTTGATCATCATCTTCAACTGCCGTACTCTTGACAACACCCTTCTTCGGACGAGGCCCCTTCACGGCGCTCACCCGGCGCTTCGCATCACGGAGGTCCGATTCGATCACACTGACGGCGGCCTTGTGGCGGTTCACAAAGTCCTTAGCTGTAGGCGGTTGGCATAACATATCATCTAATATATGGGTTGTTAGGGATAAGACATAGGAGAACTCATGAGCTAAAACAGTTTGGCTATCTCGATCCATTCGATCATAAAAAATATATATATTATATATATCAAAAGTAAATGAAATGGTATGAGGGAAACATACAACCTAGATCAACCTAGTTTCATGGAACTCATCAGCATTGATCTCTGACAGGAGCGTGGTAGTCTTGGGGATCGTGATTTCCAGCAAAGCATGAACTTCATCAATGTGCTTGATCAGGGCTTTTACCTTAGGTTGCACTGCAGAAGTATATACATGGGTGGTGCCAGCTACAAAAGAAAGAAATGATTGGTGAATGGTGGGACTAGGTACCAGCTCACCGGAATTTCTGACATTAAACTCATTAATCTCGTCAATGACCTTGGGCAGCTCATTGTTCAGTTTCTTCAGCCTCAGGTCGGAAAGTCACTAACAGTGAATAGGATAATTGATGATTTGAAATTTCACATATAGCTGATGCATCATGTGAACAACCAACATAAAATAAGTAGCTTGGAGTTAAACTTTTTGACTTCATCCAAAGCCAATTGCTCTTGGGTTTTTTCTTTTTTGACCTTCTTGGACGCGATGCGCCCAGTCTTAAGGTCTAGTTGTGCTGCTCCCTCTAGTGACCCAAGTGCTTGACCTAACTGTCGTGCAACGACAGCCTTGAGTTCAGGGTTCCTCACTCGTCCACCTACAGAGAGTGAACTTTCACCCCGCTGTCCCTGTTTCACTTCCTCACTGACCTCGCGAAGGACTTTGTACATTCTTGCCTTGGCACATCCCGGCGCCTGGGGATGCGCTGTGCCTGTCTGCCCTTAGCGGCTCGGCAGCTTGTTGAGCGATGGGCATGAGCAATGGTTGGTTGACAAAACATCATGGGTATTCACTTCAAAAAAACAGCAAAAGACCCCAACCAGTGTGAGGGAGTGGTAGGAACATGTAAATATGATAATGTTGACATTGATGATGATGATGATGATGATGATGATTATGATGCTGATGATGATGATGACGATGATGATGACGATGATGTTGAGAATGATGATGTTGAGGAGGGTGGGTAATGTTGAGGAGGGTGGGTAATGTTGAGGATGATGATGTTGATGAGGAGGACCAATCCCAAGATCAGGACCCAAAAGTATGGCATTGTTCCTGTAAATTCTCGAACCTGCAGTTGAAATGCACTTTATTGGGCCTAGTCACCCTTTGTAAGTTCTTGTATGAACTCCTTGGCCTCTGGCGAAGTCCCATAGGTCTGTTCCAGCTGTAGCAGTGTGACCTTATAGTTGGAAAGGATGCAATAACAATGATAAACCATGCAGAAACGATAAGGGAAAATACTGTAGTAACCATTGGGTAAAGCATACAGTACCAATGGTGAAAACAATGGTCCCCATCCCCATGTATGCAGGGGACATCTACCCCAAAAGTCCAATCAATCACGTTATAACCTGTGATTCCAGCAGAGGGACTGTAGCATAGTTGTCACTACGGAGCTCCTCCGTCCACTTCACATACTTCTCCTCAACGGTGATGGAGTCGGTCTTGCCATCGTTCACCAGCCATTGCTTCAGCATTGTCCACCTACTGAGGGGTTGAGAACTACATTGGGTTTAAAGCATAATATGTTAGTATATGTTAAGTATACCATCGAAGCATAGTTAGCTACGGCTATACAGTTGTTTGATCAACACCCCACCTTTCGGTGTCAGAACATAGCTGATACTTTGCCAAAAGGCTTGGGTTACAGGTCTTAGTTATTGCACGACCCATGGCAGCATACTGCCGCTTACGCTCTGCACTATCCATGCATGACGGGGATGCCATTGCACTGATGCTCTCCTTTTGCTCCTCAGTAAGCTTTGTCATCCCGGCATTTCCAGGCTTTTGCGAGGAAGATTCCTGCGCCAACAGACTTAGGTAGTGTAAGTTATACCCTAGGCTGGGGTGTTTGATCGAAATGAGGAAAATATAATAAAATAATACGTTGCCCACCATTTTCATTTTCAACAGTACTCTATGTGAGATCGCTTGGGTTGTTGTAGTTGTGTAAAATAGGTCCCTTATAAAGAACCCAGTAGACATAGGCCACACAGCAGGATCAGCAGTCCTCAGTGGTTGAAGTGTCCACAGAGGCTGGCGAAGCAAGTAGGTCAAAACTTGGAAGTGTCCTCATGCTCTCCATTCGGGCTGGCATGAACTCCTGGCAGAGCTGACAAATCACAAATGAGATGGTATATGAGTCTATGAGGTGATTTGGTATACTCTCCCCACATCTTAATGAAGCAAACCTGAGCATATTTTTTGTTTTGGCTATACATGGGACTATTGGATTTCCAATTGTTGGTTTGTTACTATAGACCAATGATGTCTCGATTACACTAGGCAGCACCAAGGTGATCCTGCCTCGTTTTCGCTTTCAAATTTCAGCCTTTTCTTTTCAGGGGTGGACCCAGTGGGGCCTTCTGGGTCCCGCTTGTCATGACTCTGGGTAGACACCTTTGGCCGCTTGCTCTCAGGATCAGACGAAGCTGTGGTGGAATTGCTGCTGAGGCTCTTCCGCTTTGAGGGGTCTTTGGACTCTAGAAGAGTGAGAGCATGGCTGTTGGCATCAGCTTTGATCGCGGTAGTTTTGGGTGGTGTGGCATGGCTTGTCCCAGGCTCACCCTGTGCTTCCCTCTTGGAACTATCCTTGTCATTATTTGCTTTACTCTCTGGCTTGTTTTCTGTGCCGTCTTTGGCTTCATCGGCTTTCTTCTTCTTTGGCTCCTCGTCTTGCTTCTTCTGTGTGCCTTTCTTTGAATCATCCTTCACTTTGGTGGTGTCCTTTGACTTCTTCTCCGTGTTCTCACAGCTCCGTCCTTGGATCTTTCTTCTTCTTCTTCTCTGCATCTCTCTTCGGTGCTTCCTTTGAAGTGTCAGTCTTCTGAGTCTTTGGCTCCTCATCTTGCTTCTTCTGTGTGCCCTTCTTGGGATCATCCTTCACTTTGGTGGTGTCCTCTGACTTCTTCTCCGTGTTCTCATCTTCGGCTCCGTCCTTGGACGACTTGGCTACATCCTTCTTCTTCTTCTCTGCATCTCTCTTCGGTGCTTCCTTTGAAGTGTCAGTCTTCTGAGTCTTTGGCTCCTCATCTTGCTTCTTCTGTGTGTCCTTCTTGGAATCATCCTTCACTTTGGTGGTGTCCTTTGACTTCTTCTCCGTGTTCTCATCTTCAGCTCCGTCCTTGGACGACTTGGCTACATCCTTCTTCTTCTTCTTCTCTGCATCTCTCTTCGGTGCTTCCTTTGAAGTGTCGGTCTTCTCAGCTGCGGTGTTTTTGGGAACCTTCTTCCCTTTCTTGTTGTCCTCATCCTTCTTCGTCTTCTCCTTCTCTGGTTTGTCTTTTGTGCCATTGTTGGCTTCATCAGTTGTCTTCTTCTTTGGCTCCTCATCTTGATTCTTCTGTGTGCCCTTCTTGGAATCATCCTTCACTTTGGTGGTGTCCTTTGACTTCTTCTCCGTGTTCTCATCTTCAGCTCCGTCCTTGGACGTCTTGGCTACATCCTTCTTCTTCTTCTTCTCTGCATCTCTCTTCGGTGCTTCCTTTGAAGTGTCAGTCTTCTGAGTCTTTGGATCCTCGTCTTGCTTCTTCTGTGTGCCCTTCTTGGGATCATCCTTCACTTTGGTGGTGTCCTTTGACTTCTTCTCCGTGTTCTCATCTTCGGCTCCGTCCTTGGAAGACTTGGCTACATCCTTCTTCTTCTTCTCTGCATCTCTCTTCGGTGCTTCCTTTGAAGTGTCAGTCTTCTGCGTCTTTGGCTCCTCGTCTTGCTTCTTCTGTGTGCCTTTCTTTGAATCATCCTTCACTTTGGTGGTGTCCTTTGACTTCTTCTCCGTGTTCTCATCTTCAGCTCCGTCCTTGGACGACTTGGCTACATCCTTCTTCTTCTTCTCTGCATCTCTCTTCGGTGCTTCCTTTGAAGTGTCAGTCTTCTGAGTCTTTGGCTCCTCATCTTGCTTCTTCTGTGTGCCCTTCTTGGAATTATCCTTCACTTTGGTGGTGTCCTTTGACTTCTTCTCCGTGTTCTCATCTTCGGCTCCGTCCTTGGACGACTTGGCTACATCCTTCTTCTTCTTCTCTGCATCTCTCTTCGGTGCTTCCTTTGAAGTGTCGGTCTTCTCAGCTGCGGTGTCTTTGGGAACATTCTTCCCTTTCTTGTTGTCCTCATCCTTCTTCGTCTTCTCCTTCTCTGGTGTGTCTTTTGTGTTATTGCTGGCTTTGTCATGTTTCTTCATCTTTGGCTTCTCATCTTGCTTGTTCTGGGATTTCTGGGTGTCCTTCTTGGAAGCAGCTGCCTCTTTGGGGCCTTTTGCTGAAGTCTTCTCATTCTTCTTCTCTCCAGCTCCATCCTTGGACGATCTGGCTACATCCTTCTGATTCTTCGGTTCTTCATTCTTTGGAGATGGCTTCTTCTTGGTGCTGTCACTTGCAGGTTCTGGTGTATCAGCTTTATCTGGCTTCTTTGCAGGCTTTTCAGCAGCTCTTACCTTATTTTTCTTTACTTCTCCTACCGTCTTTGCCATGCTGTACTTGTTCTGGTTGATGGTCCTGCTCAGGGTGGCAGTATAGTTGAGGCTTTATATATAATTGTGCTTATTTTTGAAACAAAATCGAACTCAAGCTGATTGGCAACAATATCATATCGATAAATGCAATTTTGATGGAACCATGGTCCTGGACAATCACCAGTCTGAACTGCTGAAATTCGTTTTTTTGCCCAAAATGGGCACCGGGGTGACACGCGAATGACACGGTCCGGGGCAGTGGCCTAAGTGACCCTTTGATATGCTAAGTGACCCTTTGATAATGCTAAGTGACCCTTTGATAATGCTAAGTGACCCTTTGATAATGATAAGTGACCCTTTGATAATGCTAAGTGACCCTTTGATATTGTCTCGATAATGCCCAGTGACACGCTAATGACACGCACCATTTGGAGCCAAAAATGTTAAAAATGACGAGGTAAATCGAAATCCCTTACCACCTGTGATCCCCATGATTCCTGGCACAGGCAACTCCATCTCGATAAATATCGATGCGTGGCAACTCAGCATGACTAGTCTGATCATTTTCAGGTGGAGGGTGGGCATCTCAAGCAAAACATCAGCAGTTATCACTGCTGGTTCGATTTTTGAATTATCGAGTATAGTATTGTACAATGAATTGCCCCATTATCACTAAGTTGCCAGGCTCAATCTTCAAGCTCACATCTGCAATCAAAGCTGATGGCGAGCAGGTTCTTGTAGTCAGTCCTAATAGGCCATTGCACAGTTGTTATCATTCAAAACCATCATTTAAGGCACACATAATCCGACTTAAAAACAATTCAGTACAAATTGCATACCTTAATGCAGTCAGAAAACTCAGACAGATATTTGCATAGCTGGGGGGCCCAACAGCTTAGACAGATACGCTCGTTTGCGATCCCTTCCAAAAAACGTCTCCATTGCTCTATCACTTCAGATCGAGTTGGCTTGGGATCTTTCCGATCCATCTTTGGTAGCTATACCAAAGGCTTAGAGCAAGGAAATAGCTTATGCAGGATTGATCACAAATGTGGATTTGCATTTTCACCCCAATTTGATTTAGGATCGAACTGACGGAAGATATGCAAGTCAAATTCACTATTGCACAATTAACACATACCACTACATCCGAATCACAAAGTCACAGTACACATCCCATGAGAAACACCCTGCACTTGCATGAGATATATTTTACCTTTTTAACTCAAGTGCTGCACAGGTAGGTTGGTCACAAGAAGCGCCATGCAGCATGTTTGCGCCCTTTGATAAGATCATCGATAGCACCATGATCAAATTCATTGGGATCAGAATCGGCAACTTCAATCTCCTTCAGGGCATACAAAATACATCAAAATACCAATCAATCTTCACATGAGTCAGGGCAAGGTTAAACAGGGGAACCCATTGTGTATACCCACCGAGAACCAATTTGAATATTGTTGCCCAACCCAACCCAGCTCCGGGCTGGCAGAAGGGGACCCAGTAGGGCGCACCAACCCTGCCACTGCTAGACCGAACTGCAGTGAGACTTAGCTAGGCCACCTTTCTGCCCTGTGACCTGGGCTTCACCAGTGCGTTTGTTAATAGTCTTCTTGACCAGGGTGGGCTGGTGACTCCTGTAAGATGCAACCCATGGGTTGGTGAGGCACAGGTATATGGGTTTCTTTACAATACACGATTTCTATATTATAGATTTCCGATCATAACACTTTTAAATAGTACATTTATATCAACCAAAAGCCACATATGGGGGCCATCAATTCACATATATTTTTTTTCAAATTTGATTTCCACTGTTGCAACCTATATAGTTGCAATCATAATCAATATTCTCTGGTTGGGTTGCAATCCCAAATGTGCATAAATTAGCTGGAAGTAAGTTGAACAACAATCATGTGCCACATTTGAAGTCAAACATAATACCACGACCACACACACACACTCTTCTGTCCTGGCAAGAGCTTCCCTCAGAAGCTTCAAGCTGATCGGCCTCCGCAGTGAGCCAAGGTTGTCCAACGTAGACCATATCCTGAGCAGCCCAGCTGTGGCAGTTCCAGGGTGTAGTTGGAGACTATGAGGTGGCAAGTGGGTAGGTAACTGGAGCTCGAACATTATAAAACGAAAATCAATATTGCCACTTAGGGTCACTGTCATCTTCATGGTGGGTGCCCCGAAGGCTCCCATTGGGAATGAAACACGCCTCAAGGGGGCATGTTGGATATATCAAACTAGATATGGATCGATATGGTTTCCTAAAATATAGGTACCCCAAATCATCCATGATAGTAGGAGTTTCCCTTATAAACCATCCCATGGGGATCCCCATTTATGAAAACCCCCATATGAACATCATAAGCTTCTAGACAGAAACACATGGTTTTCCCTTTAGCACCTGGCACCACACCAAAGTAGGAATTTTTGAACTGGACGCCAATGCCACAGAACCTTGGTTGACCACTATCCATTATAGATTTCCAACGATGATGTTAGCATAATTTCAGATTAGGAGCACTGGATGCAGGTTGTTCTACAAGGATCCGCACATTCCGCTTCACTGCGTAATACAATCTCAGTTGCACATGGGAGGCAATTAACGGATGTGCGCATGATTTTGAATGACTTCAAAAATTGGATTCCAATCAGTATTTAATGCCAGGCAACATGTATAACATACGAAGTACCAAAATGTTGGCCAATTTCACTGACCGCCGTTCCTCGTTCCCTTGGGGTGAGCTCCACGACCTTTCTGTCACCGATCGTGACAGGAATACCCAGCTGCTACACGGAGGTGCAAAGACAAGGACTCCACCAGGGCGTGTGTGCCATACCTGGGCAAGTGAAATAAGTTGGGTTGTGATGGAATCTAAACTATGGTATCTAAACTATGATTGGGTAGTAGGATCTAAAGTATGGTGGGGTTGCAAATGGAATCTAGACTATGGTTTGGTAGTAGAATCTAAACTATGGTTGGGTTGCCAGTAGAATCTGAACTATGGTTGGGTTGCCAGTGGGATCTAAAGTTTGGCTGGGTAGCAAGTAAAATCTAAACTGTGGTTGGGTTGCAAGAAGAATCTAAACAGTAGAATCTAAACTATTGCTGGGTCTCAAGTGGAATCTAATCTATGGTAGTTGAATCTAAACTATGGTGGATCCGAGTTGCAAGTGTAATCTAGACTATGGTTTGGTATTAGAATCTAAACTATGGTTGGGTTGCCAGTAGAATCTAAACTATGGTTGGGTTGCCAGTAGAATCCAAACAATATAATCTAATATGGTTGGGTAGCAAGTGGAATCTAAACTATGGTAGTTGAATCTAAACTATAGTGGGTTTGCAAGTGGAATCTAAAACTATGGTTTGGTAGTTTTGAATCTAAACTATATGGTTCTAGTAGAATCTAAACTTAACTATGGTTGGGTTGCCAGTGAAATCTTGATTATGGTTGTGTTGTGTAGTAGAATCTAAACTATGGCTAGCATTCCATTCTGGATGAATGGGGAATGAAATGCTGGGACCACATGCCAAAAGACTGAAGCTTCAGCCTAGCAACTGCGGCGAGTACTGTGATAAACCCAATGGTTCTCATCAGGTTGTGGTTGGACGAATAGGCCACCTCGACTCACAAAAAAAAACATTTCGTAAAACATGCTAGGTTAAGGTCTCATGACATATGAACATACATGCACTTATGCATGCGCATATCTCAAAACACATTACTTCACATATCAGTATTTCGACCACCATGGTTTCCTTGAATCAGTAAGATCATATAATTTCCATTAATTTCCATTTTCAGCCAAGAAGCATCAAAGGACTTTCCATTATAGCCAGTCATGCGCATAGCTTTGCTCAGTTGTGCGCAGCCCGAGCATACTTCACCTGGTCGAGAGATTAATTGTTTCTCATAGCCAGTTGTGAACGATGTTCATTGCTCAAAAGACATCAACAAAAACAATGGACTGAATAATATCGTATACTATTCCTTATAATTATTTAAGATATAGCTCCCAACTAACCCTGTTGTGACCAACTTAATGGTACGTGTAAATCACCATGGCATACCAATTGAACTTGGGCAACAAACACTTTGATCACCTACCACCTACTTAAAGAGTACAGGGCACCATTGTACCAACACAAACAAAAAACATGTTGGATATCCCTTATAATTATTTAAGATATAGCTCCCAACTAACCCTGTTGTGACCAACTTAATGGTAAGTGCAAATCACCATGGCTGGCATACCAATTGAACTTGGGCAACAAACACCTTTATCACCTAACACCTGCTTAGCACAGAGTACAGGGCACCATTGTACCAACACAAACAAAAAAAAACATATTGGATCAAGTAACAAAATCAATCGGTTCAGAAGGCACGGGTAGCTGGGAAAGGCACAGGAGAACGGTAAGGATATTGGAAGCTCTCATACCAGGAACCTGTTTAGTTTGTGATTGATCTCTGATTAACAATTTGTCACTGGTATGAGGCTTCCTACTTCACTAGAGGATGTCAGCAGTCAGCTGAGCCGAGCTCTCGGACACCACATATCACTGTTCAGCATCATGCATGGTGCAGTTCTCGTGTTCCTCACAAGCATCGCTGCCAAGCATGGGTGCATATTTTCTTTTTGTCTGTAGACATCTCAAATCCCCAGGTTCAGGTCACACGGATTTCACATGTGAACCACCCAACTTGCACAGCCGCACCCCCATTGACTTAGTAAGTAAACATACAATAAGAGTATTTTTTTTGCTATCAACAATTTTATTGGAACATATTGGGACCAAGTACTAAGAGGGAAGGACTGCAACACCCCAGCTGGAGAAAATAGCAGGTCTCAGCAGAAACAGGAGCAGCCACGAAAACAAGTCAGAAATAATATATCTCCAAACTATGCAGGTGCAAGCTATACCATTGGTTTCACTTCTTGGCTGATCCCTTCTTGTTTGTACGAGGTTTTTTGTTCGTACGGCCATCATCACACTCTTCTTTGGG